CTGCACACGCAGATGCTCTTGGTGAGCTAGGGTTTAGGGTTTAGGGTTTACGAGGGTTTACGAGGGTTTATGGGGGTTTATGAGGGTTTATGAGGGTTTATGAGGGTTTATGAGGGTTTACGAGGGTTTAGGGTTTGTGGTGGTTGCAGTGTAAAGAGATGTGCGCTCTGCTGCGCCTCCGCATCAACAAATTGTGTGATCTCGGTAGATGACGCAGCAGCAGCAGCAGCAGCAGCAGCAGCAGCAGCAGCAGCACCAGCAGCAGAAGCAGCAGCAGCAGCAGCAGCAGCAGCAGCAGCAGCAGAAGCAGCAGCAGCAGCAGGAGAAGCAGCAGCAGCTGCTGCTGCAGCTGCAAGAGGAATAGATAGTGGCAACAGCAGCAACAGCAGCAACGCTAACATGGAGCTGCTGCAGCTGTTGCTGCTGCTGCTGCTGCATCGACAGCAGCAGCTGCTGCTGCTGCTCTATCACCAGCAGCAGCAGCAGCTGCTGCTGCTGCTGTATCATCAGCATCTGCTGAGTTGCAGCAGCAGCAGCAAACTAGGGTTTAGGGTTTAGGGTTTAGGGTTTTGTCAAGGGAACAAACTCTGGCGACGGCCTTTTAGGGTTTAGGGTTTAGGGTTTGTGCGGTCTCGCTCTGTCTCCCCTAGCTTCCTTCGGAACCTGCAGGAGCTGCAGCAGCAGCAGCAGCTGCTGCTGCTGCAGCAGCAGCAGCAGCAGCAGCAACGCAATAGCAGCAGCAGCAGCTGCACCAGCAGCAGCAGCAGCAGCAGCAACACACTAGCAGCAGCAGCTACACATTAGCAGCGGCAGCAGCAACGCAGTAGCAGCAGCAGCAGCAGCAACAGCTGCAGCAGCTGCTGCAGTAGCAGTAGCAGCAGCAGCAGCAGCAGGACTGTTTGCTTAGTATCAACCCCCCACAGCTCACATGGTGGCGCTAGGGTTTAGGGTTTAGGGTTTAGGGTGTAGGGTTTAGGGTTTCGCGCGAGTAAAATGTAGGGGGGTCGGGCGGAGGGTTTATAATATATACATATATATATATATATATATATATATATATATATATT